TGGTGGAGAGTCTGAGAATTGGTAGTTAGATGTGTTGGCTCTGACTTCGATTTATAGATAGGAGTAAATTGTGGACAAAAACTCCAGAAAAAGAAGTAGGAATTGAGCTACTTATACACACGTAGGGAGGGTGAGGTTCTGCTACTATGCAAGCTTGGCGATAGGTTTACGGGGTGTGTGGAAACGGACTGTGTATATGCCCCTTGCAGACTACTCCTCTGCCGTCCGCTCATAGCACTTTCACGCCGACAGCGACGCAACCGGGAGCGCCCAAGGCCGCGGCTATTGGTTCATTATACCTTATGTAGGGGATCGCGCGCATGACGTGTTGGTTTTACCTTAGCATGCAATTTCTGTTTTAGATGTGTACTTACCTAGGTAGGCGTGTTTCTTGTATGCCACTGACACGCACAATTTAACCTAAGTAGGTATGATGCATGGACTTTTATGAAGATCGTGGCGGTCTAGTGGTCGCCGTGAGATCTGCTGGCATGTAGTAAAGATCGAAAGGCTGTAACTGAGTTCATATCCCAGATATCTACTTCGCGTTCATAACAGCAAGATTTTGTTATCAAACAAAAGTGAATGCGGGGGTATATTATGTAGTTGATGATACATAAAGTTAAATGTTGAAGAGTCATTTTGTACCCCTGAACGCCTCATGTCACCTCTCCTTAGAGGCGTTGAGCCTGTCGTGACTCCAAATTTGATGCATATATCCCTTCCGTTCCCAGTAATGAGCTTGATGTTGAGATCCCATACTCTAAATCCAGAACGCCTTAGATGCATGTATTGATGTTGATATGTCGTCTTGTTTGAGATCTACCTGTATCCTCTATTCAGGCCGACGAGACTCAAAAACTCGTTCCTCGTCTTTTCTTTCTTTTCGAAACAGCCAAGCACGCAACTAGTAATCGTGCTAGTGGTCGTCTTTTCGACTCCTCGCATAACCATGCAGAGATGACTCGACTCCATAACGACTGCCACCCCCTGAGGTTTCAGTACCTCCATGATGGCATTCGCAACTTCTCTCGTTAGTCGCTCTTGGACTTGTAGCCGGCGGCTGAACATCTCTGCAATACGGGGCAACTTTGATATGCCGATGACATTGTTTTTGGGGATGTATCCGATGTGCATCTGGTTTGAGGTTAGAAAAGGGCAGCATAAAGATGTAGAAGACCGATTCAACAACTCACTTTCCCGAAGAAGGGGACCAGATGATGCTCGCAAAGACTGAATATTTCAATGTCTTTCACGATAACCATCTCGTTGTGGTTCTCGTGGAAGATAGCGTTGTTGACAATGTCTTTGACATTTTGCTGGTATCCCTTGGTGAAGAACAGCATCGCCTTCGCATATCTTGCTGGTGTATCTAAGACACCTTCCCTGTCAGGGTCTTCGCCAACACATTCCAGAATTGTTCGAACTGCTGCCTGCATTTTCTCTAGTCTCTGGGCCGCCTGCTCGGAGGTCTCTTCAAGCCGCTCCCGAGTTCCCCGGCCTAAGATGTATTAGCTAGAATGTTGAATTCGGAAAACTGCTTACGTACTGGGCCGGCTGAGGCCATCGAAATCGATAACTGGACTGGGCGATCTTGTCTCAGTGTCCGCGGTCTTGACCTTCTTTTTCTTTTTCTTCGGTGGCTCATCCCTAGGATCTCGCGCAGCTTTGCTTATGCTATCCCGTCTCTTCAATGAGGTGCCGTGGCCATTGATCTCAGATATTCCGCCATCCTTTGCTCTCCTTCTCATCTTCTTCTTGGTCGCTCTCTTGTCGTCTCGACTTTCGACTTGCGCTCGCCCATCGCTACCATCAACAGAGTCGTCAACGTCAGAAACCCCCGTAGCCGAACTAGTAGAAGAGACTGGAACTAATGGTTCACGATCGCCATATGTAGGTTCGGTAAAATGCGCCATTTTACTTTTTCTGTTCGGCCGAAGCATGAATTGGCGCAAGGAAGTGATTGGAGGTGGCGCATATGGCTTGAATGTCGATGGATCGTGGTTAGGCGATTTCGGTCGTTCGAAAGGTCAAGTATGAAGGTGTTATGTGAAAATAACGGAACGGAGAAACAGGAATTGGTATTCCATTTAAGTGAAGGAAGGATAGCCAGCCTGTGTGCAAAAGAGAAAAAAGACGTGCTTATGTACTACGCTGTAGGAATATTTGAGTAATACAAAATGATGGGAGTCTTAAAAGAGGTTTGCTTGCATAAACAAAAAAAAAAAAGTAGCAAGCCTCTTTTAGCTCGCAAAAACTCAATTCAAAATGCATCTATCCGATCATTAGGTAACTCCTCACCTCATGGCTCCAATTTCCCGGGCCGTTATCGGTACCTAAGTACCAGTACCACCTGGGCATACAATGACCAATGTCGTAGATTGTCAATTTATCGATACATAATTTGTAAGTTTAAAAGTTTCCATTTTCCTGTATAACTAAACATTAGATGTATACTCAGAGACACAAACGATTAAAGATACGTAATTACAACGTTGAACAGTCACCTACGATTGCTCTATGCTCAAACTTTTGTGGTAGCAAAGGCCAAGGGAAGGTTGTGCTTCATTCATCGGGTAGACGTCAGAGGCCTATGCAAATAGGAGGGATACCGAAATTAAACTGCTACCTAATCGGAACCACCACCTGTACGGTATGATAGGATCTTCTGAAAGTCCGCGGGGTAATTGCAGATGCCCCTCCAGTTTCCAACCTTGGAACCAAAGTTTCACAAATGTACCGATGTACCTGTCCAGCTGGGACCCACGTGGTAAATGTGGCTATCGTGGCAGAAGTTTGAATCTGTACTGTGGCTGAAGCTCTTCAACATCAGATTCGGATCTTAATAATCTTAATATTTCCATCTTTCATTCACTTTCATTCACTTTTACCATATATCATCATCCATTCATACTTTTCAGTCACCAGTTTACGACACAGAAAACCTTGAAGGAATTGTCCTATCGCGACATTCATCCTTCGCGATAATCCATCTGGCCCGAGTTCAATACACATTCCCAATAACCTACCTCATACCTGGCCCGAGACCGTTGCATTATCTACAACTTGGAATCGCATTTCAATAAAACCTAGTCGCCCAGACAAGATGGCCTCTCCTCCGTACGCCTACTCGCCTGCGGGTTCTCCACCGCATTCTAGCGTGCCATTGCCATCAAAGAAGCGCGGCTCCACGGCTGCAGATCTTTCCGTCCAACCATCCTCAATCAAGCGACGCAAGGCATCTACCATGTCTATAGCCTCCCAGGGCTCATCTCATCCCCTTCGACAGACATCATTCCCTCCCGATGAATCACAGGTTCAGACTTTCTCGCCATCCTACCGACGATCTCCAAGCATTGACACGATGAGTCTTGTCAGCGGGAGCCAGGTGAGCGGTGCGCCCGGGAAGAAGAAACGCGGTAGGAAGTCGAAAGCGGAGCGTGCAAGCGAAGCGGCTGCCGAGGCTACACGAGATGGGACATCAAGTGTTGCGGGAGGACGCGCCGGCACCGTGCTGAGTAACGCTAGTGGCAACAATGCCGGAAAGGATGGCGACGCAGACAATCAAAAAGAGGAAGAGTTCGAGATTCCAGAGAACATTGCTAGCATGTCCGCTTCTCGTACCGAGGCACAAGAGAAGAAGGAAGAGACCCTCAGAGCGATGTTGAAGGGGCGGATGGACCCTGAACAGTTCGACCGATACGAGATTTGGCATCGTCTCACGCTAAAACCAGCAGAGGTTAAAAGAGTAGGCTACCGCAATTTATACTATTGGGACCCTCTATCGTGGCTTGGCTAACTATCTTTACGTAGCACATCAACAGCATCACCTCGCAATCGTGTCCGTCCAACGTTCATCAGATGATGCAAACTGTCTTGAAGTTGTATCTCGGAGAAATCGTCGAGGAAGCTCGTGAGGTTCAAGAGGAATGGATCAACCTGGGCGAGAAGCAGACCGACCTGCCCGACGATGAATTGCAGCCTATGAATGAGATGTCGAAGTTTCGCCGACAGGCTCCTTTGCGACCTGAACATCTCCGAGAAGCTTCTAGGCGTCTCAAAGCCTCTACAGAGAACGGAGGGTCAGTGGGAAGCTTGCTGATTTGGAACCAGCAGAGGCAAAGTGGGGTCGAGAGGTTTGCAGTCAAAGCTGGAGGGCGTCGACTATTCAAATAATGCGATTGTCTCGAATACCAGTTGGCTGAAGCCTCCACAAACACACAAGGTTTCAGCAGTCTAAAATGCGCAAGCAAGACCATGGAGATGGAGATGCAAGCTGGGAGATGAAGCATTAAGCATGGACCATACGGGATCATTATAATTCAAGGGAAACGTTGTTGAAAGACGTCTGAATCACACAATGCCATCCTTTACTACACACAAAGTGTAGATATACCCATTGATCCACAAAGCAAACTTGATTTTGCCAAGTCATATTTAAAGGCTTGCTTGAGGGCATAACACCGAGATGGAACATACTGATAGGCATGATGATGTACATCCATCTTGCAGACTATCATGATCACGATATTCCTCTTACATGCGAGGATATTTGCATCGAGAGAGTGAGACACATCAGTCCATTCCTAGCATAATTTGTAGTCTAGTAGTTAACTAGGGCTGTAAGTTTCGATGCTTCAAACGCATCTTGGTTCATAGTCAATCACAATAACAAATCCAAGCCCATCTTATGTCATGAAGAATGTTTTGTCTAATGTTCACTAGCCTAATATTGTAATCGGGTTCATATAAACATCGCGAGTCGCAAGTTTCTTTCCTAGACTAGACCTGTACTTGGCCTATCCTCCGGGGGCTGTGCATGTTCAAAATATAAGAATACCAAGTAGTTAAAGTATCAATAAAATGCAGTTGTTACAATAAAGAGACCATAGAGAGGAAGGTACTCGATTATCACGTGCCGTTAAATGCACTTCGGCTTTCAACACGTGACAGCACGAAATGATACTTATTCCAATTTAGTGAACCCATTGATAATCCAAGCCCCTATAGCTCAGTGGTAGAGCGCAGCACTTGTACCCATTCTTTGTGACAACATAATGCTGAGGTCCATCGTTCAATCCGGTGTGGGGGCACAGTATTTTTGACAATATGATTGATATAATCCATCTATTATGGCTGCGACGTGCACATTTTGTCACATCTTTTCTCTGTCTTCCTTTTCTCTTTAGTAAAGGAATTCAAGGTTGCTTATTTATGCACGATTCGTGTATGGTCAAAAATAACAGCAACTCGTGATAATCACTATCATGTATTAACTACCATGCAGCTTAATTGCCACCCTCATCGTATGTGAGTGAACTGGTGCTTTATCAGAAGGTACTTTGAAAATTCCGAACTACTTTTTTTCCTCGTTTCGTAACAATATGCTACAATAAACAGCAATGCCACCACCTCCTGCGCCTGGTCGGTGAGGTCCGCGTTAAACTGTTATACCGACTCCATAGACATCAACTCCATAGACATCGATTGAACAGCTCGTATCGCTATACCCTATGGAATTTTTGATATTTTAGGCATCAGCATTAGATCCTAGTTTCAACTGTTTCAGCCTCCTCTTTGAGACTCCATTCTCTTTATCCTGGCGACCGACCTTCAGTTATCTATCAATGTGGTTGCATTTATGATGATTGTGTTTACGTCCGAAGGACGTAGATGCTATCTAATGCTATTTAATAGTTATTTAGTATCTACGAAGCGCGTGACCACGACGCATAGGACGTCCAGAGTACCTTCAGTCAGGGCAGAGCTGGAGTTTCGTTTGACATAATGAAAGACCTCTTTTATCTACACCTGCGGCTAATTTTCCGCCACCCACAACAACCTCAAATAAATATCATATCACCACCAGAATGGCGCCTCGTCTCATATCAGCCAACACATTCTATATTGGGGATACTTAGGTTCATCTTTCAAGTTGAATTACTTGAACGAATTTTGAACCATTCTCAACATGAAGGTCGATTTTCTAGTAAAGTCCGTTCTAGCGGCTTTCTTCTTTTTATCTGCAATTTTACAGTTGTCAGATGATTTTATAAAGCTAGATAAATCGATTGATATACTTGACAAATAGTGCTCACCATATCTGACGCCATTCGAACCACTTGTTCGAGTATTGATTGAACCCAGAATAGCCATGAGGTGGGGCGAAACACAGCCATGATGGCACCCTGGCATGCGGTGCATGGAACAATTGTCTATTATTGATCATGGAGGCAGAGTTATTCGGCTGCCTGGAGCGCGATCAGCATAGCGAGTACCCAGGTAGGTAGGTTCAGGCTTAGGTCAACTTCAGATGTCATCTTATGAGAGGCTGAAGATTCGAACAAACGAGACCTGGAACAAGTAGGCGTATAATGTCGCCAATTAGAGTAATAGATCTATATACCACAATAGAACTCGATGTTTTTGGTCGCAGAAGGGAAGGGCCTTGCCCAACCTATGGAATGAATCCCTTGAAAACACAAATTGCCGATCTCGACGCTCGGAAACTCGTATTGGAGACCATCTACGATCTTTGGTAGGTATTTCTGGCCATCGCCGAATTATCTGCGGTTTTCAGGCAGCAAATTAACCATCATACATTTAAAGGAGCCCGGAAGTGTGTTGTGTTGAAGACGATATTCCAACCCTGTAGAGTTTTATAGTTTTAGCATCTAATTACTCACCCAACATTCACCATGTCTTTCGTCCACAGCAGAATGCCGTCCATCGATAATGAATCCTATCTTAAGCCGGATATCCATCGAGATATCGAAGGAGGACGAGAATCATGGCGGTCACCAAACCAGGCTTCATGGGACAGGGCACGGTTTTGGCTACGCATCTGGTCAACTCTCCTTTCGCTCATTCTCTTAGCCCTATCCATTACAGGGTTCGCAGCGCCGTCGGGGTTTAGTTCGTTCCCAGTCATGGGGCTTCCAATGGTAGGATCAAGTCTGAATGCCATCTCCTAGCTATAACGAGTCCTAACGAGTCCATCCATCTAGTCCGCAGCAATCCTCTCGTATGACTTTACCGAATACATCGTCATGTGTGTCCGCAGGAGGAAGACAGGCATCGACGCTAAGGTTTCCCTCGGGTTCGAGCTCATTCTCGCGGCCTCGGGCATCGCCTTGACGATACTCCTGATCAGCTTCACGGTCGACTCCTGGAGATGGCACATGTACTACGATTACGAGGGCTCTGATTCTACAGGTCTTCCTACTGCCAACTTCGTCACTAATGGACGCAAGTGGTTTGGCTTCTCTGTAACTGCCAGCATTCTTGGTGTGGTATTATCGTGAGTTTCGATACATTTACTCGTGGCTATCGTTCCTAGTTAGCTAACATCAAGTCTTCAAGAGTGATCCACAGCGTCCTGTTCGTCCGCGCCTGCGTGGAAGTTGATAGGCAGCGGAAGGCAGCTGCCCGGGCTCGGAAGAGCACGACGTCAGCGGACGTAGCTCACCGTCAACAGTTTATACCTGCCGTCCCTGAGCCGTCGGAGGGGGTAATGGAGCTCGAGAACCTAGACGATGTTAAGAGATATGACACGGTAAGCCTAAAATGGAATAGCAACACATGAGAGTGTTGGCTGACACATGACACTACCAATCAATAACAGAACGAGAAATACTTCCTCGTGGACAAGCCTACCACCCCAAAGAAGTAAAACCATCGAAATTCCCTTATCGGTCGAGATTGCCTGGCGGCTCTAGCGCCGTCATTATGAAATTTGGATACTAGGAGTTTTAGTATCCCGCAAGGAAATACCCGTGGTAAATGGACGCACATCATATTGGGGAGGCTTTTGTGCGGGATGGTTTAGTTCGCAACGATCTTTAATGCCATGTAAAGTCACGTATATCCACGACCAAATGGGCAGGTGACTGGGGGAGTTAATTTGCCAAGGACATATAATTATCATTATAATGCTATATATTTGGGGAAATATTTCATAGTGTATAAATTTATAAAACCAATGCCATGTTCAGCATCAACCGCCCCAAAAGATTAGTTAGATCAGGTAACTAACCATTGAACAAATAGGCAGGGACGAATAATCCCTTTCCATTACTCGCTACTCATTTCAAAAATATAAATAATCTATGATTAGCACTACTCTATACCTAAATTGACACTCAGGACTTGTTCTCGGGCTCTAATCTGAATGGGACATGTTTAGTCATCAAAGGGGTCACCCCTGGACTGTAGCGCAGAAGTCGTGATGCCTGTTTGGCATCGGTTGAGTTAGCACATCACCTCTGATTACTGTTTGTACAAGTCTTGAGTAGTTGTGTTCCGAAAGACAATGAGACGTAAAATCACTTGTGTCATCATTGCCGATTAAAGTCACATCGGCAGCTCTATTTAATGATAAGAAATCGACCATTATTTATGTGAATGCCGAAGACATCATCAATCGGCTTGACTTGGCGATCATCTATCATGAAGTTATGGTGGCAATGGGCGATATATTGCACGAAATCATTTGGTAAGTTGATAATTTAATTCGTTTGTGACTTGTGGGTCGATATCTAGTAACTGAACTAAGTCCATGGCAATGGTAATTTGATGAGGCAGCATGACCTTATCGTCAAATAGTTGTATCTTATGGTTCTGACCCCGAAGGATGTGATCGACGGATCATTGATCGGTTGGCACCTAGAAGGAGATGGTGATATCTCGCACGGAACTTTTGTCGACAACTATTTTCAGGAAATACTTCCCATTCTGATAATAGCTCATACCGTCCTGGGCATTGCTGATATCAAGGGTCTCATCTGGATGCATCCGTTTGCTGTTGACTAGTCATGCGAGGAAATCGATTTCATGATTTTCCATGCGATTTTGGTCTTCTTAGGTAGCAGCAATAGTTCATTTGGCGATAGAGTAGCAAGTATCTTAGGGGGGATGTAGAGGCCGGTCAATGATCCTCCCGGCAAATAACTAGGTCAGCGAAAGCATCATGAACCCTAAGGTCGATAAAGTCGGAAAATCAGGGGTTCAAGATTTTGTGGCCCTTAACACCTCTTCAATCTTTGGTTGCCTGAATAACCGACATAGCTGGCAGAATCTCATATGTTGGCGAGGTATGTCCTAACCCTCCCTGAATGTAGCAGGGTCCATGCGTTCGGCGTGCCAGATCCTAAGTGGGTGAGGTCATGGGTGCGACGATTGAGAATGGTTTCTAGGTCTGTTCCTGCACCAAGCCGTGGATCTCCCACGTGTGCCTGAGTAGGTAGGTATGGAAACGAGGTGATGAATGATGACGGTAGATGCCGGTCAATAAGATGGATAACGTTGTCCAGGTAGACCAAGGAATCCTAGTTTTCCATAGGTTTTGGTGGGCAACAAGGAAATAGGTGTTTTCTTGGTTTTGTGGCTGCTATTGATTGGTAGTCGAACTATTCATGTGCCCTAAGGCCTTAATAATATGGACCTTAAATTTGTTGTTGCGGTGAGAAGAACGACATTCAACCAAATCGTTGCGAAGAACCAAGATAACAACTATGACCACCAACCACTAAAAGTCGAAAACCTGATTGAAAGATTGTGTCCCGTATTATTGAAATACTATAGCCTAAAATCGACTTCAGACCTAAGTTCGATAATATGCTAATATCGGGTTCATCTTCATTTGGGGATCTGAAATAGGTGGCTTAATGCTTAGCCCACGCAAACTAAAGTTACCGGGCTGAAGTTCTACGCCGAGGTCAATGCATGGGTGACCCAAAGCGCGAAAGATGAGTAGATGTAAATGAACGAGGTATAGTGTTCTGCCATAATATCTAAATAGAATAAGATATTAGTATTGAAAATAAATATGGGAGGAGGGCGATGTTTCAAACAGACATACCTAGAGACAGAGGTGACGGGAGAGTATGAAGATCAATATTGATATGGTAGAGCAAGTTCCAAAGAGAATTGATCTAGGAGACTAGTGCTCGAGCTGAGTGCGTAATAATACGAATGTTGCCGAACTCTGGTCGTCTGTGGAAACCGTCTGGTGACGATTTGGCAAGTTCCAAAAACTGCGTCTGTGCAGCAAATAATTGCAAATAGAAGCAAATAATTGCAAATAGGTGCTTGA